AAAAAATACCATCTTCTAGTTTTAATTTTGCTTATCCATTGTTAATAGCTACAGCATATTGACAACTATTATTAACACACCATTGTTTTTCATCGTTAATACATTCTTATTCTAACATACGTGTATATTTTCTTCTATTACTTTTGCTACAATATTTTTCAATGGGTTTTGTGGTTAACATTGAATACTTAATATACACTATGAACATAAATAATATGCATATGTTTTGTTCCCCTCTGAATTCTAGTTAAATTCTACAAATTGCATTTAGTCTTAGAAAATGTGCTATTCAATATGTAAATTTCAGAATTGTTTAGTGTTGTTACCCTTGTGGTCCAATATGTTATTCAAGTAAAGTACTAATAATTAAGCAAAATGAAGATAAATATAAAATGTGTATAATTGATTAAAAGAGAAAGAGAAAAAATTTAAAACATTAAAGTCAAGAGTTAAGTACATATTTAAAATTACTAGTATAACTCATTAAAAATTCTTACATAGAAAACCTTTATTCCAATTTTAGTAAGTACCAACCTTGAAGTGTGGTAGACAATTTTTAGATGTCTATGGAGATTCTCAGCCATCCAGGTCATTGTTGTCCCAAAGGTGCTTTTTCAAGAGGCAACTGGACTTTCTTTGTTTTTCTTTGAAGACCTTTCGCTTCTCAACTAGAAGAACTGAAGAAGCTTCTTGGATGAGAAGTGAAACGTCTTCAAGGAAAAACAAAGAAAATCCAGTTACCTTTTAAAAAGTAGATTTGGGCAAATTTTAGATATATTTATCTATTCTGGCCTTTCATGAATACGATACTTGTGGATGGTTGTTTTTGAAATCAATGTTTAAAAATAAGTATATATTTTAATTTCAATAATTTTATATTGTACCTCTTAATATTGTATTTGTATGGAAGTGATATATCTGTGGATAACATGAAAAATAACAAACTAGTGTGGGTACATCAGTTTTTAAAACTGTACTTACATATGATCATTAAATACATTAAACATATTTTTATTCATATTTTAGTTAACAAAACACTGTCATTTTCTCTTTCCCTCATGGTTATTAATTGCTGGATTTTTATTGCATTGAAAGCCTCTTTACATAAAATGGTTATGGATTTAAGAAAGCTTGCAGGAAACTTTCCTTTTTCTTCCAGGAAGAATTCTGTGCAATAGTGTTTAAATGCCTATGTTATTCTTTACTTTTGATAATGCAAGTATCTGTTTTCTCTCTCAAATGATACAGTATTTTTTAAAAATGAAACTGGTAGTTTCTTTGTTTCTTCAAACATTTACACTATTATATACTACTTTCCATGAATAATTTTCCTAATATTCAGCAGATACTGATTAAGGGTGTTGTGTTGTTCACACATATTGTGAACATGTACATAAAATATATGCAAAATATTGTAACGTATATAGAGAAACAAAATTAAGAAATATATTTGTCAATTTTTTAAATAATAAAAATATGATGATGTCTAAATGTATTTCCTTCTTTCTTTTGCAAAAAGGTATAGATCTTATTCTCAGGAATAATTGTAGACATCTTGGATGATAAAAGTTAGAAATGGTCCTTCACATTAAATAAAAAGTTACTTGTAAAAGCGCTCCTCCCCCATCAAGTATAGATAACCTAAATCTTCCCAAGTGAATTACATTTCCCAACATGACTCTTTCAGAGATGCTATGAACCAACTTTTAGCAGTATCTGAAGGAATACAAATACTTCATTGGATCTGAATATTAGATTTGCTCATTGATTAGAAGCCAACAATTCATAATACAAAAGAGAAAGAGATTCAGAAAAAATGTTTCTGGAATGGGCATTTCACTGAAAGAAAAGGCTTACAAAGGGGCAAAAGACCTGTCCTGCTTTCTGCTATATGTGTGGACTGAAAGGGGACAGCCCCCACCTGTTGTGTCCCATATGTGTCTGTTCCTATCCCTCTGTGTCATACCTTGTTGGGCTGCATGGCAAAGCCCAAAAGGTTCTGAATGATCTCAGACAATGACTATATCACGTAAAGGGTTTTATTTTTCAACTGAACATAAGAAGAATTTATTTATTCAGTTTCAGCTTACCACAGTCAGTCAGCTCTCAGCGGGTTATAATTCGTAATTTGTAATAAAAACACCCACAGTATATCATAGTAAACAGCTGAAAGCTAAAAATCACAAAATGACACCAAAACGTTCTTACAAGAATAAGCCAAAATGAGAAGTAAATAATTAAATGGTCACATTCAAATATTAAAAGCCTTCTTGAACAAATTGTATTTTAATTATTTCTTAAAACTTTATAAAGTAGGATCTTCATAGTTCCCAACTACTGTGAGGAAATCCATGCCTAAATAGGCAGAAGTATAAATAAGAACCTAGCATGAATGGCCATATCCTCTTATATTGTGTTCACATCCTTATATTTAGGTATATATCTGAACAACTAGACTTGCTCCACAAGTGAAAATAGTGTAGACATTCAGCCTCATATTTGACAATATTTAGGAGATCTAGTTATAGAAAATTTTATTGTATTGTAGTTAAAGAATTTCAGCAGAGGAATTTTTTTTTAAAAATTGGATTTATATACCGCCCTACTCCCGAAGGACTCAGGGCGGTGAACAGCCACAGAATAAAACACATAAATAGAAAATTTAAAAACAGAATAAAACCAAATTAAACAATTTGGCCGAGACAAATTTAAAACACCCAATAATTTTAAAAACAAATTAAAACTTACATTTTAAAGGGGAAAGATTTAGACCAGGCCGGCTTGATGGAATAAAAAAGTCTTGAGAGCGCGATGGAAGGTGCGCAGATCCGGGATCCTCCGTATCTCCGGGGGGAGCTCATTCCAGATAGTAGGTGCTCCCACAGAGAAGGCTTTCCCCCTGGGGGCCGCCAGTTGACATTGTTTGGCTGACGGCACCCGGAGGAGTCCGTCTCTATGAGAGCGTACCAGCCGGTTGGAGGCTATTGGTGGTAGCGGGCGGTCCCGTAAATAACCAGGTCCTAAGCTATGGAGCACTCTAAAGGTGATAACCAAAACCTTAGGTTACATATAGGTGCTTTCTTATATGTAACATTTCTGTTCAGCAAAAACATGATGGATCAGAGGCCTTGGGAGAGATACGAGAAAGGGCAAGATGACACAACCCTTCTCACAGATACTGATAGTTACTGACATAATTCATAAGGATGCCGAAGAGCAAAAAAATAGTTCTGCAATGTATTCTTGATGTTATCTTTCAGAGCAGGAGTGTGGAGCAGATAGGTTTGATCTATCAGTTACCCAGATGATGTGAGTTTTGATTGTTTTAAAAACAGCAGCAGAAATTAAGGAGGTCTTTGGCAGTAATGGATTTTGCATGGCAGCATTGTGACTTACATTCAGTGTTGGCATATCAAATAATTTCCTGAACTCAAGAAATGCTCCACATTTCTTTTCAAAATGTTTGTTTTGCACTAGGTTTCTAGTTTAAAAACAAAATCAAAGTGGACAATGAAGTGGAGTATGAAGTTGAAAATATTAGAATAAGATATGTAACATCAGGAAATGCTTATTGTGCTGGGGAAAAAGTTGTATATCATATTTTGCCTTTTTATCCTCTTTTACTTAAACTAATAAACATGTACATGTGTGTATGTCTGACTTTGTTTTAATAGAATTTCACATACAGTTGAAGCAGAGACTATTACAAATTTATTTCATATTTTAATTTCTTTTCAAATATGAAAAAGTGCTAAGCAGATTCTTCTAAACTATCTTACAATAATACTTGTTGCTGACTTCTCTGGAGTTTTGTATTATTAATTCTTCATGGATTCTTCAGACTGGGGATTGTTTGTTTTTTAAAATATATTATGTTTTGATTTCTTGAGCACGAATAGTGAAAGAAAAAACATAATATGCAAGAAAGAGTTTAATAATAAGTTTATAGTTGTAAATATAATTCTGAAATCCATCATTAATGAGATTTTTTAAAAAGTTGATATAAAGAAACGAAAAGAAAAAAAAATCCCCAAAGCATCCAAAAACATCTCATATAGTCACAGAATGTGTTTCTAATAAAATAAAACTGGAACGAATAAACACACAAACACACATATAAATTTGATTTAAGCAATGCAAAGTTACCTGCATTGCAAATACATCCCTAGACTTTATTCGGTGCAGGCAGTCTCTAGCCTCAGGGTTATTTGGGACATCTCTCCCAGGGTGTCTCCTATGTATATATACAATATCCAGTGAAAATATACATTTCCTTTGATATCTTGGAGATATCAGAGATTACTTTGGAGATCAAACTGATATTCACTTGAGAATGTATATAAAAGTGCATTTAAATATTTCATAGTTATCTTCAGAAAGTTCTTGACATTATCAGTGATAAATGCTATCAAATACAAAAAAGTCTAACTGTTTAGAATCTGAACGGGAAACACACATCTCAACCTGACCTCCTTCCCTGAACCCTGCTCAAAAGAGGAAAATGATTATAAATGAATTGTATTCCTTTTTTATGATTGCATCTTTCTCCATATCCATTACTGAAAGATATTTAAAAATACATTTGTGTGATGCAGTGATTTCTCTCTTCATTTTCTGAAGGAGGTAGAAGCATTCATCTTATTCTTCATTTCAAGGTACTTCTAAAGGATTCTCTAGAACTTTGGAACCATTAAGTGCATGCTACTAAATTTGAATTCCTAAGTATTATAGTAGGGTTGTGTTGATCCAATATATTTTTTCACAGGGACAGCTAGAATATTATAGAGAAATTATCTTGCATGATCAATGGGATAGAGATGTAAAACTAGAAGCAGGTACCTAAAGAAATATTATTATCATCATCATCATCACTTTTATGTTTCCTTCAGTGTTAAGGTGGTCAATCATTGAATCTTTGAAACCATTAAGTATTCTACCAAAGTGTTCAGATTCTCTGTGTTGTTCTCACCTGTAGCTAAGTGCCACTTTTGCTGCTCCTATTTTGGTGTAATCAGCATGTAAAGGGAAAAGAGGGAGATGATGCTTTCTTTAGAGCGTTTTTGTATAATTTTTGGAGGATTGTTTTTAATGATTGTGGCAATTACACTATTCAAAGAAAGAAGAATTGCAAAAGGTCCCTGCCACGAACAGTAATTGCTGGAGAGTGGTGCTGAAAGGACAGCTCTCTTCTCCGCCGTCTCTTAAAAAGAGAAGCAAAGCGAGGAGCCGCGTTTCTGCTTCACCTTGGAGTCATAGCAGGGGCCAGTTGAAGAGTCGCCTGCTTAAAGCAGCAGTGAGTCCTTCGTTTGCTGGGAGCCCATTCTGTCGATACGCTTTCCATCCCCCATGTTTTTGTGGTGGTTTTTCTCTGCCTGATGCTAAAGCGTCTCATCTATTTTGCACAAGGACAGAAGATAGGTTTCCTAGCAGCAGGTGGGGGTTGCTTTTATTGCGTTCGTAGCTGGCAGTCAAGGGCGCTGGAATGGCCACCTGAAGATGGACGGGAAAGCCGCACAAGGAGGAGGAATTCTTCGTTTGATACGGACACACAAGGAGCCTGGAGGCAACTGAGAAAGGACAAAGAGCGGCTGGAACGTGAAGAAAAGCCTCTTTCTCTCCGTGATTAAGGTATTGAGATGGATGTGAAAATAAGGGGGGAGGGGAGCGACCATCACAGGACGTTTCTGTTAATCAATTGACAAATAAAATCTGGTGAGGATGTTAGCGATAGGAATCTGCTGGTAAGGTTACATTGGTTCTATTTAGGGTGTGCCCACAGATCGACTTGCTGGGGAGGGGCGTAAAGACTGTTTTTGTCACCAGTCAAGCTCTGGTGTCTTCTGGAGGTATTTTTTTCTTTAAATTAGAAGATGGACAGATGACACCTTTTAGTTTAGACAACTTGATCTCAAGAATTCCAAAGAGGAAATATGAGTAAGGTTCACCAAGCTGACGGCTACTAAAGGGAAACAGCCTTTTAGCTCTGACTGTATTGGAATGGGTGGGCGGGTGCACGTTTATAGGAAGAGTCCAGACCATCATTGGAACAGGAAGGAGGGGAGGAGACAGGGATGAGGGAAAGAAGCCACCTGATAATAAGCTAAATAAGGATGCTTTTACAGGAGTGTGAGGACCCTGCGCTGAATTTTGCTCAGGACAATAGCTATTAGGAATGCCAGGTTTGTTCCTGAGTCGTTATAGAGTAACTTTCTCGCTGCTGAGGTCCAATAACCTGCCTGCTATCCCCACTTTGGAAAGAACTTTGAAGGAGCAAATTAGGAGATGCGGTAAGAGATTGATTTTGGTCAACGATAAGAGTGTGGAACGGAAAAATAAGGGAAAGGGAAAAGGAAGATTCCAGAATGGGACGATTTCACTGTGGGTACAATCAGGAGCCGGATGATGTCTAAGTTGGAAAGCGGGCTCCCAGTGCTATGGCTCTGGGATTGTTCTTGTCCCCGGGTGTGGACCCTTCTTTTAAGATCCCTTCCCTTTCCCCATAGGGACGCCTTGGGAGGAAGTTCCTTTCTCCTCCCGCACTCCGCTGGATTCCTTGGTACTTAGTAATCTGTTGTCTTTTCCACAGGCGGCCTTAAAATAAGCGCCTTGCACATTGCCTGTCTCTTCTCTCCTTCTCGCCCGCAGTCATGTCTGAGTCACAGAGATGGGGAAGCTCGAGGATAACGAGAGGGTGATCCTCAATGTCGGGGGCACCAGGCACGAGACCTACCGGAGCACCCTGAAAACGCTGCCGGGCACCCGGCTGGCTCTGCTCGCCTGCCAGTCCCAAGGCGACTCCCCTGGCGGCGGAGAGGAGCACCACCAGCCGCCGCTTCTGCCCGCCCCCAACCCGGCCCCCAACCCTGGAGGCGGCGGCGGCGGCCCCCTGGATACCGTGGGCAGGAGCGGCTGGAGTTCGCGCGCCAATGGCGGCGGCGTCACACGTGGCGGGAGCGGCGCGTGCTGCGAATTCTTCTTCGACCGCCACCCGGGGGTCTTCGCCTACGTGCTCAACTACTACCGCACCGGGAAGTTGCACTGCCCCGCCGACGTGTGCGGGCCGCTCTTCGAGGAAGAGCTGGCTTTCTGGGGCATCGACGAGACCGACGTGGAGCCCTGCTGTTGGATGACCTACAGGCAGCACCGCGACGCTGAGGAGGCGCTGGACATCTTCGAGGCGCCCGACCTCATCACCGGCGAGCCACCTGGCGATCCCGACGACGACGAGTTAGCCGCCAAGCGCTTGGGCATCGAGGACGTGGGTGCTCTGGGCGCCTCCTCGTCTTCCTCGGCTAACGGGTCCCCTCTTGACGGAAACGGCGGCCGCTGGAAGAGGCTCCAACCGCGCATGTGGGCGCTCTTCGAGGACCCCTATTCTTCCCGCGCCGCCAGGGTAAGCGAGAAGAGCCGGGGAAGGAGGGAGAAGGCACCTACACAGAGAGTAGGAAGCGCTCCTAATCTTTGAAAGCCCCCTGCTACACCATCCTACATGTGCTTGTTCAAAAGAATCTCCTGAAGGAAATAGAGTTGCAACTTTTACTGTCTTTATTTTAAAAATCACCATCACAACCACCATAAGAAGCACTTTAGTGTAACCTTCTCCAGTGTGGTTTCTGCCCAAAATCTAGCCAGTTTGGGGAAGGCTGCCTTGCCCCTTCCTCCCATTTCACGTTAAGGCAGATCAAAGCTAATAATGGTGATTGGATGTTGCATTGGCACAGGTAAGTTTCTTGCCAGCATATACATCTCAGGTAAACAAGTTCTTGCCATGTACATTAGACTCATATATCTGGCTATAGCAGCCAAAATAGTGATATACTAACATCACACAAAATAGGCGTGAATGCATGATGGTGTTCCAAGGAGGTTATGCATATTATTTTGGTGCAGATATTGCACAATATCTGTCCTGTTGTAGTAAGTGAAATTAGAAGATAGACCTGTCATACAAAGGGAGAGTAACCCAAGGTCCCATTCCCTTATTGGAGACTAACCATCATCAAGTACATTGACAGAAGTCCAAATTCTTACATCTGTATATTTCGTTTCCCTAATAGCTCAGATTGGCGTATGTTTGTGAAGTTATTTTGTATGAATAGATCATCTGTCCAATTCTTTTAAAAAAATGATGACAGTTGTTAGATGTAGGAATATGTTGAAGTCTGGATTTCTCTTGTGTGTGAATGAGGTGACACCTTATAAAGGAAATGATTTAATTTTCTAGTATCCCAAAAATCAGGTGTGTAAAAGAGAACACTCTTTATAAGAGATACTGTGGGAAAAGTCTTAATAATAAAAACCGGCATGAAGCTATGTAATATTTCACTTACTATGTGTTTAAATAACAAAGTTGGGAAACTTCAGAAGAATCTATAGGCCTGTCCATTGAAGTAAGCCTAAATGGGAATAGAGTGTCAAGTGTGTAACAATTACCATTATTTGATTCCCCCCCTCCTAGCCCAGGTGCTGCCCACCTAGCAGTTCGAAAGCATGTGAATGTGAGTAGATTAATAGGTATCATTTTGGTGGGAAGGTAACAGAGTTCCACATGCCTTTAGTACATAGCCATGCTTGCCATATGACCATGGAAAATGTCTTTGGACAACACAACACATGGCTGTTCACTGCCCTGAGTCCCTCGGGAGAAGGGTGGTATATAAATATAATAAACTAACTAACTAACTAACTAACTAACTAACTTGCTTCTTTGGCCAAGAAACGGAGATGAGCACTACCCTAGAGTCAGAACCTTTACCTTTACTGCAACAAAATCTTTGATTCTCAATAGAATACCTTATACTAGGAAAAAGTCCCAGCAAAAAGTAATGATTTGCATCTAACACAGAATTGATCTGAAATCCTGTAGAATAACTATGTCAGGGAAGTAGAACAGAATGGGTAGTTTATATCTTACAGACCTGTACTTACAACTGGCTAGCACACTTTTGAATAAACATCCAATGATAAAAATGCAAATATGCCAAATAAAGTAACAGTCAATTTATGAATCACAACGAAGTGGCAAGAGTTTTCCTGAATTATTTGAAATAAGTACTTCCTCATCTAAAACGATCCACAGAAAGCTAGAGAAACATTCTGTATTACCCTCTGCCAATAAGCTTGGTGTGACGATATATGTTTGTTTGGATGCATTAAAGTGTTGAATTCTGATGTGTAGTGTGAAAATTATAACCACTATCTTAGGTTATTTAATGGATTAAAACTTTCATGGAAAGAAAACTACCTCTATCTAGAAATCTGTTTAGAGGCAGTTTATTTTGAATATTAATTACTGAGGTGCAAATGACAGTGGAGGATTTTTCTAGGAACAAGAAAACAAAAGAATATGACTTGGTATTGAACATTATTTTATATTAATTCAATTTCAGAAAGTGTTGCACAGAGGAAAAAGTCAGGAGAAACAAAATAAAACAAAAATGTGACCATTTATGTATTAAAAGACATATTAATATAGAAAGGTTAACCCTTGCAGCTGATTGTTTAATGGATAAGCTGATATTAAAAGTTATAAAAATCCCTGATAATGTTATAGCAGTTAAGCAGTTTTACTTAAATTACAAGTTAGTTTTGTAATTAAACCAAAAAGTTAAACTAATTTCACTTATACTTTATTGTCATAGTCAGCTAGGTAGTATTATTTCTGAAATTCAACTGATATTTCTGTTTCATTTGCTCTTTACTATAGTTGGGACTGTGAACTTTAGTACTTCATTCCTCTACCTTGTAATGGAGAGATGGACTGTGGATGTATGTAAACTAACTGCCTATTGGAAAAGACCCTCACTGGGAAGGTTGTCTCAAGGGAAGAGTGGTGTGGGTGGGAAAATGCAGTTTTAGTTATATTAAAAGCCACCACTTATACAAAAGACCTCTAGGTATAGTAAATTTGTCCCAAGCTCACTTGTTCTAAGTGTAAGCAATAGGTACATAAAAAACTATGATGTGCCACAAGCCTAGTCACCCATCTTCTACTTCATCTTAAACTTTCCTTCAGGTAACCTGTTTATTCTTCCTATCTATGGCTGCATATGACCAGCTAGCATTTCCTACATATGAAAGGAACATCTATTTACATTGAGCTATTGACTTGGGAGGATGAGTAGAAGGGAGAATACTAAGAAATCTCAGTGGTTTCACTAATCTCATTTCATCAATTTGCCTGCTGCATTTTTCTGGTACTGTAAAATAATTTTCTTTCAGAAATGTCTGAACTTCACTGTAGAGAGACAGGGTGTAGAACAAGGGGGTCCCATTTTTTTCAGACTGTGGTTAGGTTGGCTGGTGACCTACTGTGGTGACCTAAGACTAAAGTGTTATAAAGTGTGTGTGTGTCACCATGTCACCATTGCATGATATGAATAGAACTTTTAGATCACTAAAGTATACTTTTCAAAAATAACACATATACATAAGAAATAGATATGTGTAGTTATCAAGCTTTATACCTGGTGACTATATGGACACATCCATAGTTTTCTTGGTAATAATACAATTTAGGAACAATATAGAATCTATTCCATTGACTTTAGGGGGGAATATAGTTCAGTTTTCGATCCTAGTCTACATTCTTAAAAAATCCAGGAAGTGCTCCATCTAAAGCTAATTTAAGTCACAGGTATAAAGTCAATTATGTATTGTTATTTTCTGAGGTATATAGAAAATAATTGCTTGGAAAGAATACGATTATATGTTGCTATTAAATTACAGATAATTGTATTGCTGTCTATTAGCATGATAAATAAATAGTTCAACAATATTATGAGAACGAATGAAGTATCCTTTTTTAAAAAATGCATATGAATCTCATTAAAAAGTACACGATAATAAAATTACTTAGAAGTTTGAAAGCCCCAATCAGTTTTAGGTGTTGATTGAAGTGGGATTGTGCCTAATTTGAAGTAGACTTTTGATTGGGAGTTGCTCAGAGTTGGCTGGAAGATGGGAAACTATATAAATTTTTAAATAAATAAATACCATTCTTCTTTAACTAACAACTTCCAGAAATCCTGGCATATAATTTCTACCATTCAAAGATAAAAAGATGTGAAAATTATTAAACTGGAAAGGGTTAGTTGATATAGTTCTTGCTCCTCCATGATATAATGCTGAATTTCTTTATTCATCAGGAACTGTATTTTATAAATATGTTTTTATAATCTTTATCTTTTATCTTTATTTTTATTTGATTTATATACCGCCCTACTCCCGAAGGACTCAGGGCAGTGAACAGCCAAACAATAAAATACATAAATACAAAATTTAAAAAACAGCATAAAACCGAATTAAACAATTTGGCCCAGACAGATTTAAAACACCCCAATCATTTAAAAAACAGATTAAAATTTTCATATTAAAAAGAAAAAGGGAATAGATTGGCCAGGCCCGCCTGGTGGAATAAAAAGGTCTTAAGAGCACGGTGGAAGGTGCGCAGGTCCGGGATCCTCCGTATCTCCGGGGGGAGCTCATTCCAGATAGTAGGTGCCCCCACAGAGAAGGCTCTCCCCCAGGGGCCGCCAGTCGACATTGTTTGGCCGACGGTACCCGGAGGAGCCCCTCTCTATGAGAGCGTACTGGTCGGTGGGAGGCTATTGGTGGTAGTAGGCGGTCCCGTAGGTAACCAGGTCCTAAGCCATGGAGCGCTTTAAGGATATATCTATAATACATAGATATATCCTTAAAATTTTAAGAAATATATCAGAAGATTTCCATTCAATGTTCCTTATTGATATCCAGGTCCTATTTTCATATAACTATCTTTGTTTCTGCCTTGATTTAATTTCTAGATCCACAAAGATTCCTATATTAATATTAATTCTAAATACATTCACTGGAGAATAAATAGTGAACTCAGAAGGATGTGGTTTTGAATAAGCAGATTTAGATTGCTATTTATATTGACATAAAAGATTTGTGAGATCCAGTTTAATGTATGGTTGTAGCACTAACCTAGAAACCTGAAACTCATGGGGGACCATGCGTTCTAGTCCTGCTTAAGACATAAAACCAATTAGGTAATCTTGAGCCAGTCTCAGCCCTGGGAAGCAGGAAGTGGCAAAACACTTTGTGTCAAAAAATTGTATGTATTTGTCAGACTGCTGCCAAATATCAACAATGACTTGCAGGCACGCACAAAAAAGTTATATTAGGTGACCTCTTGATTCACAAGATGATTTGTAATATAATTTCTATTAAATGTAAAAAGAAAGGAACATTACAGTATATTAGAATTTTAGAATTTCCTTTTTTCCTGTTTTGAATAAGAGATTGACCTTAAACTTTTTTAAAAATTCTATGTAGCTACAGTCATCTATATCAGATCTCCTTCATTTAATCTATATGAATGGTATTTTCTTTTCTAAAGCAATCACAAAG